ACCCCCCCCCCCCCCCCGCCAGGCTCAAGGCCTTGTTGATGTCGTTTGATTTTCAGACATTTCTATATTACAGAAATCAGAGGTCAGCTGCTGATTCTTATCAATCTTCTCTTGTTTTGCTGTAACTATCTCTCTATAAATCGGGCACATGTTTAGTTTGGACATCCCAGCTGGACCATTTAGATAAGGTTCACATTATTCATGTTTACAAATCCATATTTCAAGAAAAAATGTGTTCCCGGAATCAAACCAAATTTAGGTAAAAGCTGTTTATAAAGGGACTTCTTTAAAATATTTTATGTCAACTGTCTGCTTTTAGTTAGCATTCTTCCACAAAACAAGCTTAACACTGAGGTTTTAGCCAGTAGTCTAAGAACGTAGTTACTAAAACATGGAACGACCTAAAACCACCTAAAACCTTCTACAACCACCTAAAACCACCTACAACCACCTCAAAAAATTCAATAACCACCTACAACCATCTACAACCACCTCAAAAACATCTACAATCACTCGTAAACAATCTAAAACCATCTAAAACGGGGTATAAATGTCTGAAACAGTTTCACACAAATGTATGTTTAAGTCCCGCAGAATCCTTTAGTCTAGTGTGAACGTGTCTCACTTGTAGAGCCTGATTTTATACAGCTATTAACCTGTTTACAGTGGCAAGAATTAGAAAACATTATATAACGATATTTGATAATTCTTTTCAGCAAGATGAATCAAAACATTCTTACCAGTAACGTCCCTTGGCGGGGAGGGAAGACCCGAATATGTGATTCAAATTTTTCGTTCCGTTTTAGCTCGTAAAGTTCCAGCTACTCTAGCCTGTGCCAGGCTCTCAGATAGTATAGTGGGGACATATTTACAACAAGCAAAGCGAAATAAGAAGCGCGCATATCCCATCACTCCCAAGAAGAGGGCTGGGGTGAAAGTTGGGTTCCAAAACATAATAAAGGTATATAAAAATCCAGGTAAATTACTTTAAATACAATAATTCACTATTAAAATTTTTCAACCCATTTTTATTAATAATTTTCGGCTCGTCTTAACTTGTTTTCTTCTGAATCCATTGCATTATAGATTTTTGTAAATAACATTTTTAACAATGATTACACCTACTAGTCTCCGTTTCCTGTGTCGTGGCGCAAGGGAGTTTAGCCTTGCGTGATGACACAGGAAACGGGTGTGAAAGACACTAGGGTTCATCTAAAGGAGTCACCTGGAATGTACAAACATGTTTGGCGGATGAGATGCTAAAAAAAATAACTTGTTCTTAGGAATGTAATCCGCCACCTCAGAACAAAACAGCAGTGAAGCAGACTCCGAGAGAGAGAGAAACCCTACCTTGTGCCATTGCGTAAACAAATGAAACATGAACGAAAACGTCTCACTGGTACCCAGGGCAGAAAAAGCCAAATCAAGTCAGCCTTTCGACTACGAGTTTGTTATTTTATTTATTATTTTTTGTGACTTGATAGTTCATTTTGTGAAGTTCTTTAAGTCTTTTAATATACTTACCATGATCTCGCATTTCATTTCGTGACTTAAGCCAATGGTTGATGATACAAGGGACCAGGGAGAGTAAGATTTTAGGGGGAAGTGGATGTTTTGTTCGATTCTCGTATTTCATGTTCGTGACATGTTGTCGTTTGAGGTGGTTGTAGATGGTTGTAGGTGGTTGTTGAATTTTTTGAGGTGGTTGTAGGTGGTTTTAGGTGGTTGTAGATGGTTTTAGGTGGTTTTAGGTGGTTTTAGGTCGTTCCATGTTTTAGTAACTACGAGTCTAGGAATACAGAAGGCCAAAAAATTGCGCCCAGTCCGTCAGATTTCTTTAACTAAATTAGTTATTGGTGAATTTCACATTGAAAAATATTTAAAGATATTCTGAGTTTACCTTTGAAAAATTTCTAGGCCTTAAATCAACCACAGGACGAACTTTTAACAGCCTTGCAGAAAGCCTTGTGGCGGCCATGTTGGACTATGAAATCGATTAACGATAAATAATTGATTATTAATCTACCTTGTCGTTTTCTTTATTGTAAGTTATTGTGCTTGATCATGAACTAAACAATCTCAAATAATTCAGAGATATGCTTAAATAACCAAGGCATTAAGCTACAAGTTTATTAGATAAAGTTTATTTTCGAATATTTCCACAAAATCGCCATACATTCGGCTCGCAAGTAAACAAATCGATATTTAATCGGAACTTTCCTTCGTCCAACCGCGTCGTGTAGGACGACGGGAAGTTACACACGGCGGTGTGAAAGTTTACTCCAAGAATCGTCAATGAATTCTAAAAACAGATGGATTAACTAAGCAATTTAAGGGATTTTTACTTATGGGTGATACGAAATGAATCTTAGAGACACATTCTGTGGAGCTGGGAGGCTTTCCAGTATGAACTGGTCGAGCTGCCTTCAAAATCATTCCTGAAATGGCCAGCCTTGGAGCGTTAGTTGGTGGGCCCCTGGGAGAGGAAGATGTAGAAGAGTTACGCTCCGAGCGTTCCATACGAGGACTCAAGGTCAATATTAAAAGTTTTCCTAGAAACCTGTATGATATAGGTCTTTGTTATGTGGTAAGTACTAACGGTTTGGCAAATATTGCTTTCTTACGACAGTCGCAAGAAGAAATCGAGAGACTCACAGTTGACGAGAACCTAGATGACATCGAGCGGGCAGTGTTACTATTGAGGTGAGTCAAACTGAATGGAAAAAAACCTCAAATAATTATGTTTTAATATACAGTAATCCTGGTAATTAAATTTCTCTGGAAATGCCAGAGCTTTTGTTAGATACATACCCTTTGGTAAGATTGTTTAAATAATTATGATAGACGGCGGAAATTTAATTGGTGTAGATTTCTTGTTTGTATATTTCCGTCACGACCATTTATTGTGACTCATGGAGTAACTTTTTTTAATACTTTGTTTGATTTTATTAACTTCATCAGTATTATACTTCTTTTTCAGAAGTTGCTTCTCGTATTTATTCAAGATTTATATACTCATAACGTTTTGAAAATCTAAACGTTGCCTCATAAAGCCTTCGTTAATCGCTTTTGTATCACCGTCTCATTTTTTCCCGTTTTACAACCTTTTTGACTGAACCGTTAAGTTCACTACGAATTAATTAACTTGGTATGTAAGTGTAAATTTGTAGAGTTTCTGAAATTGTTTGGCGTCTGACTATGTCTGTTGTGAAGTAGTATTTGCTTAATACAAACAATGTGGAGATTAGTGACTTTGAAGAGGCCCAGGTTAAAATTCAACTGAGCAACTCACATGCAAAAGAAATCGACTGTGTTTCTGCTCTCTGCATTTTGAAATCGGTATGATATTTAAATATATTTTGGGTTGTTTTGAAGAGAGATAGGATGCAGTTGTTGTGTTGTAGAACTTCCTTTATGCATATAATTAAAGAACTTGGCTTGTCTTATTAAAAGGCTTTAGGCAGGAGGCAGGGGAAGTTTAGCTATTTTAGACCATAAAAGGTCAGGTCAAGCAGTGCTTTTAATTTCAGCCCATTCAAATTATTCTTTCTTAGCTCAGCCAGTTCCGAACCATTTTGTGAAAATATTGACCTCTGATATTTTACTTAGAGATCTTGCATACATATAAAATTATTTTGAAGTTGTTATTATTGTATTAATATTATTTTATAGTTTGTCTCTCATTGCTATTAACTATTCATCCTAACTTTTGGTCATAATTTAATATTGTATCTAAGCAAAATGATACAATAAACTTATTAAAACAGTGCTAATATTTGGGAAAGAGGTGGCGTGGGAAAAAATCAGTGTTGCATGGACTTGTGCACAACATTTTTTCCATGGCTTCTTTCTTACTCCTGCTATTCACATGTGAATACCAGTAATCATGTGTTTAGATTATTGCTGGAAATGCTTTGTTGCCTAGATTTAATATCTAAGACCACTGTATTTCTTAGTTAGTAGTCTGTGAATATACATAAGTTTATATGAAAAGACATCCTTGTTATTGAAATTAATTGATAAAATATTTATTGCAAGCATATTTTCAAAACATGTAACATCTTGTTTAACACCAGGGAACATTTATCAAATTCCAAGAACAGATGTACAATGTAAAAATGTTGTTCTGTTACATCATAGCACTTACCATGTGTATGGAAAACCCAGAAATTTCGGGAAGAATTCAAATGGAACGGTTCATGAAGGTGGAAATTTTCTGGAAAAAGTAATACTTTTCGAGGTATTTCCTTTTCCCTGTTCTTACCAAAACGACCAAAATTTTCTGTAACATTTGTTTGGATTACCAGTGCTAGGCTTCATGTCGAGAGAAAGTGAAAAATTTACCGGTATTTTATTTTTGTAAATGGTACAACTCAATCCTGTTCGTGTTTTCAGCACCAAAAAAAATACCAGTACCATTTGACAGAAATTTTTCAATAAAATTTCCAAACAAATGGTAAGCACTCCATGTAATATCTCGTATTTCATTGTAAATAAGACACTATTCGCAGTTTCATCATGACGTAATAGGCATTGATAATGATATTATTGGTTTTTTCACCTGAAAGCCAGTCTTGTTTAGGGTTACATGTTTGCAATGCCATCTGGGTTTCTAGTATTAGCCATGGTCATTTACTGTGTCATCTGGTGCATGTTTCCTTGAATATACAGGAAGTGATGGCCTGTTTTAGTTACTTAGAGGTAAAGAAAAAATATGAACAGCTGTAGTTACTGTGATCTTGATGGTCATATTATGAATTTTGATCTTTGCAGTTCTGGAGTGGAAATTCAAAAACTAAGTATAATAAACAATTTACCAAGATTACTTGAGAAAAACAGTGGTGATGTCAATAGAAGGATACTTCCTGTTCTAAGGGTAAGTTGCCTTTATAGAATAATAATTGTGCAAAAGATTTAATGTTTTTCTTGTGGCTTAAGCCTCACAGTTGTTTGAAGCTTTTACGTGTAACTGTATTTGTAGCAAAAACTTTTCTTTAGAAATAGCAGGCCAGAATAAACTATAAATTCAAACAAACACTGGGAAACCACCTGTGTGGAAATCTTGTGCATAAACATAAAATTATAAAATCTGACATGGTGGGAGCATGACCCGCCTCAAACTATATCCAAATGTACTGAACAGATGAAAAAGAGTGGAAAAATTGCCTCTCCTCAAATCACAGCCCATATTTTCTGAAGCATCCCAAGTGGAATGATGCATACCATTTGACTTTCGAAGTGGAGTTTTCAGTTTTCCTGTGTAAATTGTAAGAACCCTGGGTCTTCAAGACCCAGTTTGAATTAAATGCTGGGGCATTTAATTGAGAATGTACAATACATGCACTTTTTTCCTGTTTCCAATAATTCCTTAAAACCACACTGCTTCTTAACTCTTGGAAAATTGTGGTGTTTTAGGAATACCTATATATTGCTCCACTTCATGTCCAACTGGAAGCTACCAAGTCTTTTTCAAGCATTATTGAAAATGGAACAATACAAGCCTATATGTTTGCCTCATCTCTTTTACCAATTATATTACATAATCTGGACAGCAGAGATACAGGTACCTTAATTATTTGTCTGTAAAGTATTTCATAAATCATGTTGATATAATCGTTAAAGGACATTATTAGTCATGGAGCTCACACAGCCAGTTTGAGGTTTTTGTACTGTAGTTACTTTAGCAAGAAGCACCTAAGAGTGTTTTCTGTACTCTCCATCGGACGGGACCTGCTAGTCCTTTACAGTGTTACCTCTGTAGTATGTTGCTGGTACTGGTTTTACACCTGGGTGAAGGTAAAAAGAGTCAAGCCAAGGTTTTAGTTAAAAGAAACAATACAATAACAATGCACATATATTAACCCAGATCTACAAGATGAAAAGTTTGACATGTTAACTGCTCAACCACCACTCCTTAGTATATCAAACATGAGATGAGGTATTGTTATATCTGGTTCGAGATGCCAAGAAGTGGGTCGGAAAAAAATAAGACCGACTTTGGGGTATCTGGGTATCAGATGAAATGCCTTGAAATAGCTTCGTAGACGAACCATAAATCTTGGTGATGTTTGACATCAAAGTTCATAAAACTTTGTTCCAAACCTGCCTCATTGCAATGATGGCCTCTCTTTATGAATTATTCCTTAGTTCTTTGAAGTATGCATGTTAAATTTGTAACCCAGCTTAATATCCTTTCTTTAATTTCAGTTGTATCCAATGCCTGGCTTCAAACTCTCCTGACTTCAATTGATTTTCTTCCAAAAGATGTCATTAAAAGAGAGGTCTGCAATACTTGTACAATTGCTTAAATAATATTGTTAATAATGCAAAGTAACTTAATGATAAGAGAATAGGTAAAACAAGGATTGCTTCCTATTTGTCACAATTCACTGGCTAGACTAATCAGTTCTGTTGGTGAAATAATATGGCGTCAGTCCATTCAGTCGATGCATGCTGTAAGGTATTTTCTGGTCTGCCTTGGTGCAGGTAGCTAATTCCAACATATAGCAAAATGTTGGAGATGTTTGTCTTAGATTCCATGGTTAGCTGTCAATAAAGAAAAATTGTGATTGCTGTTACATATGGCAACCCATGGGTGAAATCCAGTCATCAGACCAAAATTTACACAAACCAGCCATCGATCACATCTAACTTTGACATGTTTACATTATTTTGGTTACATGTTTCCTGAACTGTCTTGGAGTTAGTCTTGATAAATGTTAACTTCGTTGTAATAAGCTCCAATTCAGAAAGCCAATAATGATCATTAATGTATTTTTAACATATTACATATATATACTGGAATTAACATTTGACAGGTCCTGGGAATCGCGATCTCCAAAGGACAACTGTCACAGTCAGTGAACTGTAGGCTTGCAAGTTGCAAACTCCTTGGAAAAATTGCTCCAAAGTTTGAAACTTACTGGTATGTAGATGACTTTTAATCTAGTGGGTATCCTGTGCTAGCTGTTGCATGTAGTCAGGCAACATCCCTACCCCCTCCCCCAGCTCTTAGGGACAGCTCTGTTGGCCAATAAATGTCTCAGTCAAAGAGAAATTTATATTTCAGTACCAGTTGGTAGGTAATTACAATTCTTTTAGAATTATAAAATTTAGAAGAAGAAGCATTCCATGAGAATACTAGAAGATATATGCATGTACACCATTATAGCATTTTTATGATTTCTCTGCAGGATAAAGAAGGAACTAATGGCTCTGGTGGCATCATTATGTCAAGACGTGGACTATGAAGTCAGGGCTTGCATGTGTCAGCAGCTAGAAACTATAGCAAGAGCTCTTGGGTAAGATTTTGATTTGCTAAGCTGCAGTTTTGATCACCAATAATGTGACAACACAGTTAAATTGTTTTATAGTTGTATTATGTGCTCATTTGATCATATACCTGTGTTAAAATAAGCCATAGAAGTATTTAATAGTATCATTAAATTATTATTAACTCTGCCCCTTACATTTGGCACTTATTGTTTGTCGTTTTCTTTCCAGATCGGATTTAGAAAAGAGACCCTGTAAAAAGTCTGACCTTCTAATTTACACAGTTTTATTTTATTTTAGTTTTTTATTGAAAATGTTGTTTTTATTTGATTTGTATTTCTTTTTAACAGGCTGGAAAGTACACAAAGTATAATAATCCCAGAGCTTGTTGAGCTAACAAATGATGAAGAGACAAGTGTTAGACTAGCAGGACTGGAAACCATCACAAACTTACTGAGTCTTCTTGATGATGGTGAGCTGGCCAATGATGAGAAATGAAGTAAACTAACAACCTGTAATATACAAACCAATGTGGCTGAACCATACCATATTAATATCCGTACTATAGACTCCTCTCTACATGTACAGATCTATGTGGTACAAACTTTCGACTCTTAACCTTTGTGTGCCTGTTTTCCTTGCACTGTGAATCAATGTTATATTATTGATAATAATTATTGATAAAAAAATCAATGTTTTCAATATTAGTCTACACCAACAGTAATTATTAATTAGTTGAGGTTCACCAATGTAGTTGTACTGTCTGCTTTCCACCCAGTATTCTTCTTCTCAAAGAGTAAAAACCAAACCTGTGTGATGACAAACTATGGTCTGTGTGTTGTAAACATGCATCCACTTTTGTAATGAGTTGCATGTAAGTGTCACTGGTTCCCTTTTACAATTGACCTGTTTCATTTTTGTTTTTTTCTTTACAGATACCTGTACTGCTGTTATAATACCATTGGTTCAAAAATTCTGTGATGAAATTCCTAAGCAGTGTTCAGATTCACTTCTCATGGTGGCAAAGTTGTTTGGAAAACTTTCATATGGATTGTCAGGTAAATCTAAGGAGGCTTGTTATCTTGCTTTTTTGGCCAAAGTCAATAAACTGAAATATGGTCAAACGTTCAGTAAGAGGACACCCCTTTCGGTCACGTGACCTATATCCAGTTCCCAGTGGTGTGTGAGAAAAAACATTTTCCACTTATTTTGTTACACTCAGCCAGTGGAAAATTACCCTTAAATGCATTTAAAATTGACATGTGTGTGTACATCAGTGGATCCATGACTGGGTGTCACCTTACAGGAGGTGTCCTTGCAGGGCTCTCATTAGCGGCTAGGGGTGGGGGTTTCCTCGGCTATAATAAACGTTACCCCCGCCTACTTTTATAGGAAAATAGAAGAAAAATAGAACCAAACAAAATCCCTAGCTGTTGGATTCCCTGCCTACTTGTATCACTAGCCCGGCAACTTGAAATTTTATTCACAGCCCTGTATCCTTGAGTGGAGTGCTCCACTGTACAATCTATGCAATGACTTTTCAGCTTATGAGTAGTAGGCTTGCAGCTTACATGCTTCTTTGTGTGCTTGCTGACTAAGTTACCTTTCTTGATTACAGTTAACCTTGATGACACTAAGAAGAAGTGGTTTTTGGAATTTTACAAAAGGATGTGCTTCTGTGGCAATCCCAATAAAAACAATAGAGTGGGCAGTGTTACACTAGCCCTTAAGGTAGGGTAAAAGAACATTTCTGCCAAAGTGGGGCAACTTATAGATTGTGTGATGTTATAATGCACATTTGATTTTTTTTTTTCTCATGTAGACTTCTTGCAGCTTAATTTGCTCTTTGCTATTTTCAGAGTTCTGTTTTGTCTGGTGCGACTATTGACGATGATCCTGAGGCAGAATGTCGAAGATGTTGTGCTTTTAACTTTCCAGTAAGTCACCTAACCTATAACATGCACTTTCAGTGGCATACTGCATTATATACACATGGTTCGATTTTAGTTTGAGGAACATACAGTTTTCTGTTATGTCACACTTGTTGGCGTAATGCTGTTCCACTAAGTAAAATGAGCACCATTGATAAAGCCCCTTCCCATCTTCTCTGACACTTGTTTAAATTAGAGTTTACTGACCAATACCTACAGTGGTATTCTGTATTTCCCCCCCTTTTTTTTTTCCTAGGCCATGCTACTATTTTGTGGTGCATCAGGATTTCAAGCTGAACTCGCTGCCACATTTCACTCGCTTGTAGAGGATCCCCATGCTCTAGTCAGAAGAACTATTGCATGTGGATTTCATGAGGTGTGAACAAAATTATGTCATGTAGTTTGTTTGTTTGTTTGTTGTAATCTAACCTGAGCTGCACAGAAACGCACTTGTTGCTTTGGGTATGTTTTTTGCATGGATAAGATGTAGTGAAGACTGTCGTTTATGTGGTTGTCAGTGGAGGATAATGCCCTGTCATATTTTTCTGTGATGGTATTACATCATGTGGGACATAATAAATTACATGATGGAACCTTGCGTAGTGAAACTTTTATATATTTATTTCCATTATTTTAACTGTACTTTTTAGGTGGCAAAACTTTTAGGAACAAATGTTGGAACAATTCAACAAGATTTAAGTATATTATTAAAGGATGAATCTATAGAGGTGAGTAACTAGTTCAAAGCTCTCTCCTTTCACAGAAATCAGCATTCCCAATTTTCAGATGACTTTCAGTAGATTTTGGCTTCAAGCAACCATGTCAGAAGCATAGTCTTACAGTGTTATACACAACTTAACTGCTCATTTTGTAAAATGATGGTAAGCATTGTCATTGTCAGTTGTTGC